GAAAAAGAAGATTCTGACGGTACGATGTTACAGTAGACACATAAACTATCAAAATTCGGTGGATATTCTGTTACTTACGAAGGCGTAGAAGAGCCAAACATATTTTTTTTTAAATTTCGACTTTCGACTCGAAATTTGGATTTGCAAATTGAAATTGTTGTTTGGCCCTTCTATGCCTTCGAAGTTATTCTGACTATCACATAAAAACAATAATAGAAATCGATTATTTTGCAAGCAGTGTTATTAGATTGAAAATATTAGATAGTGATCATTGCTGTTTCAACAGATCAGAGTATCATTGGCAACTGACATTGTGATTCGTATTACCGTTTGTGATCAGAAAACAAGTATCCGTAAAATAAAATAAAACTACATAATATACTTATGATTATGTGGCTAATTGTGAGTAAAATTGAAGATGAAATTTGTTGCTAAGGAGTATTTTCGGCTGAAGTTTCTGGACTAGTGTTTTTTTACAAATCTACACGATCTTAATATTTCCTTGTCCTCGTTACTTATAAAATTATTGTTATTCCTATTGATAAATTGTTTAAATCCTTTTTTATATACCAATTAAACAGAAATTGATTCCCTTTATTATAAATGTTTGGTTTATGCATTAGAAGAAGTTAAAAATATATGTTCGAAAAGGATGGCAACCATTAAATGAAACTAGCTGACTCACCTGGTAAGACGAAATTCATAAAACATGCGGTAGTCCTACGCCCCAGTTTCAGTTCGTTCGGGTCTTCCCCTGCGGCTTCCTCTACACCAAAAAGCACCACGAATTCTGAAACAAAAAAAAAAGTGAAAACATACTTACTACCTAATATCTAAAAAGAATGTTCACTAACTTAACCTAACCTAACCTAACCTAACCTAACCTAATATCTAAAAAGAATGTTCACTGTTTAGTAAAAAACTGAACATTTGAATAATGCATAAGTAAACAGATAATCAAGAAAGTTTTAGTCCATGTTTAATATGGATATGGAAATGAGCCAGTGAAATTCCCCCTTTCGAATATTTCGTATTCCCTTCTTATGACTTTCAGTTTTTATTTTTATAAATACGAAACCAAGAGATGAAAAGGTCGCTCACATCCCGGCAATTCCTTCTTATTTTTTAAAATAAATGAACTCGGCGGCTAGAATGAGGGTAACGTCAAACAGTAATGGCTTAAATTTTGTATTTCACGGTCCGTCCACCCGCTAGTTGTAGCCCGAGGAACAACAGCGGGGAGCCAAGGAACGGTTACAAGATTAAAATAAACATTGCCTAGTAAGGTGGGCAATTCTTTCCCTTTTTATTATTATTTTTTTTTTATTTTTTGGTTGGTAAATTGTTACGAAGTGGAGAGAAGAAAACGAGACACACCCCTTTTTTAGAATGCCAACCCTCAAACGCGATTAGATTGCTGCTGCATCATGGAATTTATGTCCGGTTATAAAAAAAAGCGCGTCTGCTAAATTTTTACGACATACTGTAATATGGCTTAATCTGTCATTAGATACATTGTGGTTACGTGCAATACTACTTAAATGTGCAGTGCATGCACATATAGGCTTTAGGCATGATACACCTTGTTTCACAATACGAGACAGGTACAAAGTTGGGATATTTTTTATTCCAAACAACTGCGTATCAATTTGACGAAATTCAACATCCAAAAAGGAATACTGTCAACCTCTTAAATCAGGAGAGGTAGCCAATCCAAATGATCTTGCGGACCACGTTTGAAATAAATCATAGCTCCGCAAACCCCATGTAAAATTATATATTTTCGTACCATATTAGATTTACACCCACTATAGACATTTTTTTCAATTCATAAGTGTAAACTCATTAACGAAACAGGCAATGTTGTTTCAAAGTCAAAGTTAATTTTCTCTCATAATTTCTCCAGTTATTTTTTGAATATACGATTGCATATATATGTATAATGTATTTTTTTTAAAGTATTGGTTTTCACTACTTTAGCCATTATAATAATAATCATCATCAAGCGGCTGGTTGAACACGCACCTCCACTCCTAGTAATCTAATCTACGTCTACCTCTAATCCTCTTAATTCCTATTCCTAATATGTCTCTAATTAACCCCTCATGCCTAAGAAGATGTCCTAAAAAATTATTTCGCCTTATTCTTATTGACGACCTCCATAGCGCCTTCTGTTCTCTTACTCATTCTAATACCTCCTCATTTTTAACTTTCTTTATCCACGGTATCCTCATCTCTTGCCTGTAACACCACATCTCAAACGTTTCTAACCTTTCCTTCTTCCGTGCTCACCGTTCACGTTTAGGGCCATCCTTCACGTATATATCTTCCTTTAATAATCTTTCTAAATATGTCTGATCAGTATTTCGGAATATTTAAAATGTAACATCTGCAGACAATGAAGAGTACATCTCGTGATAGCGCCACAACGTAGGGGGCGTAAAAAGAATGCTCAAAAAGAACCCCAAGTAACGAGCCGCCTATAATTGAAAACAGTTGCCACTTTGACAGCCGCGTTATCTTATCGCCCGTTCTTATCGTAAGCGTCAAATGACTCATACCTATGGTATTCGTGACCTTCGTAACAGCTAGTACACAGACAGGCCAATTGTACGTATGACAATTAGAGTAACCTGAGTCCGCACTTACTATTCGTAAAAATAAGTTTAGTGTGAAAATATCTAACAAATAAAAATATGTTCAGGGACATGATGGTCATACAAGGACGGTGTAATGAGAATGCACTGGCGGCATTAGGTATCATTACTACCGGAGCAGTTGGGGCTTTCGGTAAGGCCATTACCATCATGTCTTTGTATATCACTGAGTGGTGCATGTTAACTCATACTAATTCTTTTTCTGCATCTACTTCTCCATTAATTTTTCAGGGGGTACTGATCCGACATAGTGTATATTGAACCCTCGACAATCTTGTAAATATGTTTTTATCACATTTAAAATGGAGGTTAAGTCTTGAACTGAGGTACGGGTCCGGGTATTTCTGCATGGACTCGGTGGATCCAAGTCAGAGTACGCAGAATCGAAAAACCCTACTAGTGGGAATGAAATATCCAAACGTTTCTTAGCGCTTGGTACTATTAGATTTCCAGGATGGCTGGTCGTTTTGGTCACACACTATACTTTACTCAACCGTGGGTAATGTAGTGAACATGTGCTTTTTACCACATTTAAAATTGAAATTGAAACTCGCAGTCTTGAAGGGAGTTTCCGGTCCGGGTATTCCTATACCTCAATTCGGTTAGTTTGAGTACGAGTACCCAGAATCGAAAAATCTTACTGGTGGGAATGAAACATCCATTCTTAGCGTTTGGTACTATTAGATTTCGAGGATGATTGGTCGTTTAAGTCACACACAGTGTTGCCAATGCGAAGGATTTGTCCCGATTCGAGTGATTTTTGACGTTCTCGAGGGATAAAGGGATTTTTCCTTATTTTTGCGGGATTTTTTGTAATTTGCCATTTTCTGGTTGGTTTTGTTTGATTCTGTTGACCTGATATTATATTATGAAGGCGCTCATTTTTCTAATTGTAAACGTAAAATTTTGTCAGCTATAATCGTATAATGCTGTACGATGAAACGGTTGATATACGACGGCGACGTGTGTTCAAGCCTACTGGTGCAGCCTGCAGGTACCTGCTCAAGTCCCTACGATAAATTGTCTTGAACTTTTTTGAATTGTATATTGATTTCGTATCATTCTATGGTCTTCAGCAGACATCTTGAAAGTGACCAGTCAACAGATCAGAAACAGATGTTAAAACTAATAAAAATAAATGTTTGAGTTGGTGTATCTATTGTTCCAAAATCCGAACATCTAAACCTCCAAGGCCTGGTTTTGTCTGCATTTTTGGGAAACGAGATAACTACATACAATAAAGTTATCGGTATTATACTATTGACACGAAAAGTTGTCCATGTTTACAAAAATATTGTATATTTTTTCTTCGAATAAACGATTAAATTAACGAATTAAAAAATAATAATAGTAATAAGTTGGAGGGATTTTTAGAGAAAATATGGGATTTTTTGGACCTGTGCGTGGGATTTTTTCCTGTAGTAGGTTGGCAACAGTGGNATTTGATGTTCTGTAGAATATTGCTATATTTTGTGGAATTCAAATATGCTCAATAAGTCCGCAAGGATATCGAACTGAATCCACGGCATAGCTACTTCCACGTGGTAGGCACGTAACCAAACAAAACAAAAGACTATACAGTCTAACAAATGCAATTTAAATCTTTTAGGGAGCTGTCTAAGCTTCAAATCGGCTGAACCTGGTTCCATGCGATTTTAATCAAATAAATAAGATACTGTCAGGATTTATCTAAGCTACTCTTTTTTATTGATTCATCATTATAATGTACCTAGTTAGTCCTAAGACTGGTTGGACATGCACCTCCACTCTTTCCTATCCTGAGCTAATCTTCGCATTTCCCTAAAACTAAAACAATCGACATCCTTAACTATTTGCAAACAGCAATCTAATTTACCTCTACTCCTCCTAGCTCTTGTTTCTGCCTCTAATATGTCTCTGATTAGAGCTTCATGCCTGAGAAGGTGTCTTACCAACCTATCTCGCCTATTTTTTATTGACTTCCATAGACTCTTCTGTTCTCCTATTCTTTCTAATACCTCTTCATTTCTAACCTCTTCTACCCACGTTATCCTCATCATTTGCCTGTAACACCATATTTCGAACGCTTCTAATCTTTTATTTTCCGCCGCGCCCACTGTCCATGTTTGCACCCGTACAAAATTTCAGGATGATCCGTTAAGTAGTTAAGACGTAAAATGGCTAAATATTCACAAAAAAACTGATTCGATAATACATAAGAAGTCGATTAACGATACCAAAGAAAGTCAGATAGGAAATATGAAAAGCAGCAAAAAATAATTTCCTTTGAAGAGACACAGTCGTGTTACAATGCTCGGTGTACCAGCCAACGTCCACATTAGGTATATATGTATACGTACGTACATGTGAATTTGTAACATTTGTATGTTGGTATGCAGGAAAGTGGCCCGTTTGAAATGACCACATAATTCGATAGCTGGAAAATTGAACGTTTTCCAGAACAAAATTGTTCCGTCCGCTTCTAAAAGACCCAACGGTTGTTACTCGCCCATTCGTTTATTTCCATAAACGAAATTCTATATTAACATGCCCTTAACTATACGGACTTTGTCATTTCCGAGAGATTTTCCAATTTTCCCATGCAGACTACTACTAAAGAAAAATGCCGCATCAATCGCATCACGAATAAACAACCAATTCCACTTCTGTCTTATAAAATCACTAAACGTTATTTACTTAACGAAAAAATCAAAGTGTAACATAATTTTTACGATTTTTTGTGATATATCCATGCTATATTTGCATTGTTGCATTTACCTTTTTCTTCCAACTTACTAACTAGACTAAAGCATTTGCTAACAGAACACCTACTTTTACTCACGACAGATGTTATAGAGAATATCGTCATAGAAAAGAGATGTCAGGTAGGAATTGTTCGTTCCGCTATTATTCAAAATAGGGGCACGTGATAGGCTAAATTCAGTTGATTATTCTTAACAATGACAGCTTGTCCATTATTTGTTAATGTTTTCGATCGTATTATTCCCGATAATGACAGACCACCCTGTACCTTTATAAAATATCAAGATATGGTCAATACATCGCCATCTACTGACATTTGTTGCTAACTGAAGTATTTCAACACACATTTAAGGCTCTGCCTAACATTCATATACGTAAACCTAAATTAATA